GAAACCCTGTTTGTTTTTGATCACCTTTCAGAGGTAACACTCGCATAGCTTATGTGAGTTTTCAAAGAGTGAGCACTCACTCATTAGTACAGAGGAGGAGGAGGGCTGTGCCTGAGCACACAGCACAGGAGCCAGGAGGCTTCACTCTGTCTGGATGATGCTTGGCCATTCTGTGGCTGGTGTGAGAGCTGGTTGGACCCACTGGTGAGTACCAGAGTGTGCACATCCAGCTGGGATGTCTCATTGCACTCGCCTTCTGCTGAAATCTCTGTGTTTCCTTACACTGTGTGGCTGTAACCCCCCTGTGCTGCAATAGATCTGCCAACACCTCCTTTATTTTGGGATTTGTGCGTATGTAAATGGAGCCATTCCCACACTCGTGATCCCTGGAGCTGCGCAGTTGGGATCGCTGCACATCGAGGTTCTGCCTCCGTGACTGGGATAATCCCAGGGCCTGTTGGATCGTGTCCCATTGATCCTGGGACTGTAGCTGGAGTGGGGTGCAGCTGCTGACCCATTCCCTTGGCTGGGCATCGTGGGAGCACCCGCCTCCTGGCACCAGCAGATGACACAGTGCTGAGCACCACGGAAACCCAGCTGTGGGGTACAGCATCTCCACCACTGGGCCACTCTCAATAGGGTACGTTGTTTTCAGCCTGCTTTTAGTTACCTTTTAGTGCAGAGAAACCTTTTGGCAAGGGTTTAAGACTTTGGGGCTGCCCGACTTCCTTTGGCATCTCAGTCCTGCCGGGCAGAGAGTGCTGGAGGTGGTTTGTGGTGGTGGTGGTGGTGGGGTGAGGGCTCTGCTGTGGCTGTGCTGGCAGTGACAGGTCCTGGCTGCACTCCAAAGAGATGTCAGGATGCCTGTTTGCTGCCTGTGCTGGAATTGCTGCTGCAGACAGGGCCTGGGGCTGTGTGGAGCCTCATGGTCTTCAGCGCAGAGGGGTCACCAGGCAGCAGGGACATGCTGCTTTTTGGGAGCAGTTTCCTTCCAATACCTGGGGCTGGTTTATGCCCTATAAACAGGGTTTACAGGTGTTCATGTATTTCATTCATTTATTGATTTAATTTTCTTTTATAAGTCGGGTTTGCTTGGCTCTTTCCTGTTCTCATTTCCTCTTTATGAAGCAGTGTGTGTAGCTGTCGTCATGGTTCCTTTTGGAGGAAGGCTGTAGCTGTGTTCAGTGTAGGCTGTGCTGGGCGAGGGGATTGCCATGCACCAAGCTTTGCTCAAACAGTGCCACTTTTGCTGCTGTTACCAGACCAGACCAGACCAAGCCATTTTACTGATGCCTTCAAGCCTAGCAAGCTGTTTAGAAAAGACATTTGCAGGATGGGCAGCAGGGGAAGAGCAGTGCTTTAATTCTGGCTCAGTTCTGGGCATAGGTGCAGGATGGTGGCAGGGATGTGGCTCTGGAGGAGAGGAAGCTGGGTCAGGCTGGCATGGGTTTGGACAAGCAGTGGTGGTGGGTTTGCAGGCAATGTGGGGAGCATCACCTCGAGCTGGAAGGCTTTGCTGTCAGAGCCCTGCGAGAGCAGTGGTTGCTTTCCCTATCCTTGCCAAACTCCACAAGGGAAATATTTCTTTCCTCTTTAAATGCCTTGTGGGCCTTGAGCTGACTAATGGCTTTCATTTCCTCTCCTCAACTTGAGTGCTGTCAATGGCTGTTAAAGGGTCACATCATTTCACTTAAGGCTTTTCCTTATGGCTTTGTGATCCTTCGTGCTTTGGGGAGTAAATTGCTATTTTGGCTTCTAGCCCCTAACATTTTGTACAACACAGGCCCGCAGGGACTGTCCTGGGGCCAGGTTCAGCTGCGAAATGCTATTGAAGCGATTAAGAGTTGCTCCTGGGCTGAACCAGTTCCTCCTGCTCCTCCCAGCAAAACCTTTGCTGTTTGCCTCCTCCTGCACCCCATGGCACAGCTCAATGGCCCTGCTCACTGCTGCCTAAAGGACTGCAGGTTTGCAAAGAGCCGGGTTTGGGGAGGCTGTTAACTTTGGGATAAGCTGTTGCCTTCTAGATAGCGTTCCTGCTTAACAAAAGGAGTTCTGCTGGGAAAGGATAAGAGTCTTCAGAGGGTTTGTGCTTTATCTGGCGTGCAGAGGGTGCTCCTGAAGTTATTATCTCTGCGCAGCTCTCCTTGCTGCAGTCGTTCATTACTGAAGCATCACTTCAAGGTGGGGTTGGTTTTACACTTCTTAAGACTGTTTTAGAACAATTTTTCCCCTTAATGGTTTTGTTTTTCCCTAAGAGGGATTTCCCCTTCCCCCACTCGAAAGGAAAACCAGGATTAGCATTAGGGACTTGTTTCAGTGTTTTCACACCATCTTTAAGCAGTCTAATCTAAAACACTCACTTTAATAAGGCTTAAATTCTCTTGAGTCACATGAGTTTGTTACCTGAGTAACAACCCAAAGGGGCTTGCATGTAAGCAACTCTTGGTTTCAGCAGATCCGTCCCAAAACTCCGCATCATCAGTACGGTTTGGAGTGAGCGATGCTCTTAGCTGACATCTACAAAGGACGAAAAAGAGAGAGGGAGAGAAAATGAAGTTCAGCATCCATTGGAGAGGCATAAAATGTCTTTGTAGATGCTGCTCCTTCTGAACAGGACCCTGTGTGTGATTAGCTGGTACTTCAAATTCTGCTGGGAGAGCTTTGCAGCACAGAGATAATGGTGCTGGCTACTCACTCCTCCTCGCCCACTGGATCACTTGTGCTTAATGTTATTTATTTGCTTATCTGGTGCTGATGAAATTTCATCAGCACTGTTGTAATGGCTTTAAATCTCTGCCCTGCAGGGCAAAGCTGTGGGAAATGCTGCCCATGGGGAGGGGCAGCTTCTGAGAAAGGCGTTTGTTGAGTGGGCACCTCTTCAGCTAAAGGCAAGATTTTTCAGCTCAAAACAAGATAAAAGCAAGACCTCTCCTATGGAGCCAGGCTGAGAGAGTGGGGCTGGTTCAGCCTGGAAAAGAGAAGGATCCTTAAGGGGAGACCTTAGAGCAGCTCCAGTGCCTAAAGGGGCTACAGGAAGCCTGGAAAGGGGCTTTGGACAAGGCAGCTCTTCCTGGCAGCTCTTTCTCTCTTGCCTCTGAAACATTAATGGCTGCATCTTCCTGAGCCCACCTCCAGTTCTTCAGCTCTGAGGTGCTGAATCCTGCCATGTGGGGAGCTCAGTGGGAACAGGGCTATTCCTGTGTGCAGAGCAACATTAGGGAGCTCAGGCAGAGCAGGATCAGCAGCTCTCACAAACACCCTACCCTTGCTTAGAGCTGAACTAAGCCCTGGCAGGGCAGCGGGGAGCAGGGCTTGTGCTGAATCATGGCTCCCTGCTGCTGTGCCAGGGGTGCTCAGATGCTAAATGCTCTGCAGAGAACTGGAAGGCCTGGGCTGTGTCCCCTGTCCCCGTGCAGCAGCAGAGCCTCCGTGGGCTGTGTGAGCTCACCAGCTCTCAAGCCAGCATCCTCTCCGCATGGTGCCCCAAGAAATTCTAGTCCAGAGGCAAAACTGCATCTTTGCAGGAAGGTTGTGGGAGACACTAATTGCTCTTCTCCAAGTGATCAGGTGGGAGGAACAGAGAGCAAGAGGCAGAATGAGGAAACAGCCTCATTTAAATCCAGCACAGTGGATGTGGGAGCAGTTTGTCTCTGGGTCTGTGGTTGGGAAGCAAAGATGTTCCTGTCTGTGGATGCTGAGTGAACTGAGCTGGGCTGGGAGGGATTGTTGGAGACCACCACTTGTGAGTGGGGTGGGAACTGCTTCTCCCATCCACGTTTTCCTACTAACAGACAGGTCAGTGCATGGGGAAGGGTGCTGTACCCAGAGCCTGTGTGTGTTTGGGGCAGAGAGTTCCCTCTTCTGTATATGCATGCACAAGAGCAGCAGATTTGTGTGTCATTTCACATTGATGCTCATGCCCAAGTTGCTTCTGTGGCCTCTGCACTAAAAGTTAGCATATTTTAGTATTTCAGTGCTAAGTAGACCTGGCCAGATGAGACCAGTCACTGATCAATGGTCAGTGTGATCAGTGTGATCAAAGTGATCAATGTGATCAATGTCACTTCTGAGCAGAAGTGAGGTACTTAATTTATACTTTCATTTTTACATGTGAGTTCCTTTCAGGCCAAGTTCCCAAACTTCCTTAGGACCGTCCGTTCAAGTGGCTTTGTAGCTGTCTAAGGCAGGAATTGAATTGCAGTCATCCCCTTGCTGCAGGTAACCCAAGCTGCACTGGTGGGTTCACCCGCTCCTGAGGGTCACAGCACACGTGTCGTTACACTGAGAGCTGGTTATTAGTCACTGCTGTAATTACAACAGCTATTGGGACATCAACAAGCAATGTCAGTCCAACCAGCTTGGAGACTCAGGAGAAACATGGTCCCTGCTTCACACAAGTGGATGATGTTTGTTGGTGACTTCCATCTCCTTCTGCAGATAGATGCACATTAGAAACTGTTTTAGCACCACTCCAGTGTCCAGCCTCTTGTCCGTGCTTTGCCCTGCACCGTGGTGTTGGCTACAAGAGTACCACAAGAAATCTGGAGAGGGGCTTTGGACAAAGGGGAATGGCTTGAACCTGCCCGAGGGGAGACTGAGCTGAGCTCTTAGGCAGAAGCTCTTCCCTGTGAGGGTGCTGAGGCGCTGGCACAGGGTGCCCAGAGAAGCTGTGGCTGCCCCATCCCTGGCAGTGCTCAAGGCCAGGTTGGACACAGGGGCTTGGAGCAAGCTGCTCCAGTGGAAGGGGTCCCTGCCCATGGCAGGGGGTGGAACTGGATGAGCTTTAAGGTCCCCCCCTTCCAACCCAAACCATTCCATGACTCTGTATTTTTACAAAGGCCATTGGTGGCTGCTGTTGTGCAATAGAATGTTTACTGCTCCTGGAAACAGGCTGACAAACCAACCCTGTACCATGGAGCAGCAGATGGGAACACCCCAGCGTGGGTGGGCTGCAGGTGGAGGGGAGCTGTGTCAGGCTTTGGTTTTACTCCCCTCTGCAGGTAACTTTGCTGAGAGATGGCGGAGCACCGTCAGGACGTCACCATGATGGAGGATCATGCAGCTGCTCAGGAGAAGCACATCCCATCAGGTGAGCAGCTCCAGGAGGAGGTGGTGGGAAGCCTTGCAGCTGAATGACCAGCGTGGGGTGTGAGGGCTCCTTTGAGATGTGTGCAGGTCACCCTGCAGCCAGGGGACAGTGGGTAGCTCACAGGATGCTCTCATGTTCACAGCAAGAGCAGAGCAAGCCCTGGTCCCCAGGCTAGTGATGTCCTTACTGCTGCAGCTTTGCACATTGTGTTTCTGTGGTCACTCTTTGGTTTGCTGTAAAAATCGAGCACTGCTTTTCTTTGGAGACACAGCTCAAGGGTGCTGCTTGCTGCCTGCTTTCCTCACCTGCACAGGGACATGGGGAGAACTGAACAGAGCTCTGGGAGTGGGGGCCATGCAGGAGGCTTTTGCCCCAGGTTTCAGACCTGCATTTCTCAAGCAGCTTTTCCTTTCTCATTCCATCGCGCTCCACAGCTGAGCTTGGAACCCATGTAACACCAGCAGCCCCGTGGGACTCACTCCCAGCTATGCTCCATAAAAACATCATCTTAATTTTCTTTTCTTGAGGTACTTTGGCCACACTTTACACCAGAGAGAATCGTTGTCCTGGAGAAAATCCATAGCATCCATTCACCCTGGGTTCTGTAACTCATTTCAGTCTGGTGGCTCCTCTCTGCTTGTAGCCTCAGCTCTGCACATCACAGGTCCTGGGGGTTTTGCTTATGCCAGCTTGAATCTTCTTTTCCAAGTCATTTTCTCTAGTTCTCATTATTTCGTTTGCCCAGACTCCAGCAGAGAGGAGCCTTGGGCCTCTTGCCCTGCTCTTCCAAAAACTGACTTTTGCAACTGACTCTTTTTGCACCGAGCCCTTTACTTGCTGGTTGGCAATGATTAGACCTAATGTGTCATGGAAGTGTCCAGCAGCCTGCTCTGGTGGCTCCAGAAATGGCTGGGGGGACAACAGGGCCTTGGAAGTTGTACATCCTTTGTGCTTCGTTGCTCAGATCCCCTTTCCTGCTTGGGCCATGCTTTGCTGTTTCTGGCTGTCCGGTTCACTGGGCTTTCTTTTGCTGATGGGATTCTGCTTGTTCCTTTTGGTGATGACACTGGTGCTTTTGGTTGACATTTTCACGCTTTGCTTGCTTATTAGTCCAGGATTTTTATACCCTCCAGTTTCAGTTTCTTGCTGCTGTGGATCTGGGCTATCAGAATTTGTGACACACACTCATAGCCAAGGCCTTGTTGTAAGTATGTGAATGTTTTCCAGGCTATCCCCTTCAGATACCAGTTGATGATGGATCAGATGAGCCTGTTTCTGAAACATCTGACGCTAAGAGCACCCCAACTACGGAAGGTGGGAGCTCTTTGACTTACTGCTTTGAATCCATGATGGATGGGGTCGTGGTGAACCTTGCGAAGGACTCAACGTGCTGTGTTCTGGTGGGGTTCCTTAGGAGCAGTGTCTGCGCTCTTGGACACACGCTCTTCTTTAGTCTCATCACAAGTAACCATTCACCACTCTGCAGAGTGAAATAATGGGCTTTAAAGGCAGACAGGGGGTTGGAAGGCAAGGGAAGGTGAAGTGTTTGTTACAGGTCAGCAGGTTCTTTGCAGTTTGCATCCTGGAGACTCTTTGCACGGTGGCTGGAAGGTCCCGTTGGCTCAGTGCAGCTGGGAGCAGTCCCATGCTGTGAGCTCCCAGGGCCACAGGTTTGCATCCTTGTGCTCCCCCAGGATAGTGGCAGCACATACTGGTCACTGTGTTCTCTCTCAGAGTCAGCTGGACCTCACAGCTCTTTTTTCACCCCCTCTGTTCACACCTTCATTGGTCCAGCCTGATTCATGCTGCAGTGAGGAGATGGGCAGAGTCTATACAGAAACCAAAACTTAGTGCTCATATAAAGGTCACGTTGTAGGACTTGGGGCATGTCTGTGCTGCTCCAGAGTGTTATCTGGATGCCAGCTTTGTGGAATAAACTTGATTCTGAAGGGCTCTAGAGACTTATTCACCAGTTTAATTAAGTGCACTTGTGTTCCTCTGGCTTTAACCCTGAGTTATCTGCCTCTTGGAGACGTCAGGTAAAGGCATTAGAAATGTAGCTAAACGAAGGTGGATGGAGATGCTGACCAGTTCTAGCCCTGTCTTGTGGAGGTATGGGCTCTGTTCCTGTGTGTGTGCCTCAAGGAGTCAGTGGCTGGTGCAGAAGGGATATTGTCCCTCTTTCCAGTTGGATCAGGACTGTCACAATGAGCAGACATCCCTCTGGTAGATGGAGCAGGTATCCACCTGGAGTGCACTGCAGCCATGGTGCTCAGGTGGTTTATGGAGGTATCTGATGAAGTATTCTTTCCTGCTCCAGACTAGGGATGCCCCGTGCACAGCATCACCAAGTGCACAGCATCACCATGTGCACAGCATCACCATGAGCACACATCAGGCAGCTGTGGCTGCCTTTAGCTGTGTATTTTCAGTCCATTCATAGTAAAGTCTTCAGCTGCATAGGAGTATGCTGGAGATGTGTGGGCTGTGTGGCAGAGGGGACAGCTCCCGGTGTCCCTGTGATGCTTGGCTATGTCCTGCTTGGGTGTCTCCCTCCACAAGCACTGGCTCCAGGGAGGGAGTTTGGTGCTTTCCCGAGTTCTTCAGGCACGTCCTGGCCTCCGCAGGGATTTGCCACTCGACGGCTGTGTGAAAGCTGCGTTGTTTTTCAGATGCCACAGCACCTTTAGTGGAGGAAGGAGACCACGAGGATCAGGGTGGTGTCGAACAGCACGGGGAGATCCCAGAAGGAACCACAGGTGAGGGAGACCGAGGTGCAGTTTCATCTCTTGATGCAGACAGAGCAGAGAGCTGGGCTGCTTCGTGCTTAAAAATAACACTATGAGACCTCCTGCAGGCCTGCTTTGCTCCTGATGCTTTGCTCCTTCTTCTCCACGGCCTGCAGGCATCATTCCTAGCTTACAGTTGTCCTCTTGCCTTCCCCATCCTGGGGAAGCTCGCAGCCTTTTCTTCTCTCTTCCTCAGCTCCACATCTGCCAATCTTTCTTTCTGGTGTCTCCGTGGTGGCTTCACCTCCCACCTCCAGGCTCAGTGCTCACCTGCAGACCCTGTCATCCCTCTGCCAGCGCTCTGCTGGCGAGGTGCTTGCTGCAGGACCTCGCTGCTTGTCTCATGGGTGCTCTTGCTCAGCCCAGCCCATGCGGGTGTCTGGGAAGTGGCAGGTGAAAACCAGGCCACTGCAGCAGTTCCGTGCCTGCCAGCACGTTTGAAGGGTAATACAGGGGAAGTGAAGGGGCTAATTCAGCCTGAATGCTCTGTGTGGAATCACTGCACCTAGGCCTGGTTTTCCAGGGAGGGATGAGGGTCTTGCAGCTCCTGGGAGAGTCAGGTCTCTATGTGAAAAACGAGTATGTGTCCTCTGTGTGGTCAGCACTGGCTTTTCCTGGAAGCATCAGGCAGGTGATGGGTGGAAACGGGTTTCAGCCAGTGCCTGAACACTGAAAGGAGGCCCCAGCGCTCTCCCTTGGGCAGCCACATTGTCTGTCCCACATCCAGTGGGATAAACCAGGCTGCTGGTGGAGAAACACAGAGTGGCTTTCCTACTAGCAAGGATGTGTGTTCTCTGGTTCAGGAAGTGACTGGACCAGGGAGCCAGGAAGCAGCAGTGTGTCCTGAAAATACAGGGAAAACAGAGGAAGTCCTAGTTTGGCTGTAGAACTGTGACACAGAAATAGAATTGATTCAGCTGGTTTGAAAGGAGTCATATAATACATTGAAACCATTCTGCTAAAGACAGCCCATCATTGCTGGGAAGAAGATTGTGCTTCTCTAATGTACCAGTATTCCTGAAGTGTCAGACTGGGGTTTACTGGTGTCAGATAGCCTCAGCAGAGCTCAGTACAGGGAGGTAGGTGATGGACACCGACAAGGTCGAGCTCAGGTAAGAGTTAGGTGTTAGGGTGAGTGCTAGGCAGGATTAGGAGGGAGGATTGAAATCCACATCCTCCCTGCTCCTTGCCAGCCTGTTTCTGCACCTGAAGGAGCTTGTACTAGCCTGCCAGCCAGGATGGGTGAGCTGTGACACGTTCCTCCAGTCTGGAACAGCTCAGGCTGAACAGATCGACCAAGGACCACCATTGGTGTTGCTTGATTCCCTTTCAGCTCCTGCCCTGCTCATAGCACAGATGGGCAGGGGCAGCAGGGAGGTGAATAAATTCTCCAGACACAGTCTTTAAACTTAATCCTTGTTTTTATAATGGTTTTCCCCTTCTCTCTCTGAACTGGGAGCAGCTGAAGAGGCTGGTGTAGGAGCCACTCCCAACCTTGAGGACCACGCTGCAGGAGATGCCACTCAAGGTTAGTGATCATCGCTCCCTGGGCTGCCTACATGTGGGGCTGGGGGCTGGGGAATTCCCTACTGGAAGCCAAATGCTCTGCACTGTGTGAGCATTGGTGCACTTTTCCCTGTTCCTGACATGGGAGGGTCATACCTGCTTTGAATGCTCCAACATCCCCATTTCATAGAAGCACAGAATGATTAGGGTTGGAAAGGACCTTACACTCATCACGTCCTTCTCCTCAGGCTGCTCTGAATCTCTTCTCTGCCCAGCCTGCAGCTGTGTCTGGGATTGCCTTGACCCATGGCAGGGAGCTACAGCTTTCCATGCACCACATTTCTCTCAGATGGCTGAAGCCCTGATCCTTGTTTGTCCTCCATGCCCAAAAAGGGAGTAGATGACACTGGGATGGTGTTAGCCAGTTGGAAGTGCTCAGCACTGCACAGAGGCAGTTTTGGGCCCTGCATGTCACACATGAAATAAGTGAATTGTTGAATGATGGTGTCTCTTTCTAATGTGAACCGTGTCTCAAACCTACTCCCTGATGCCCTGACTGTAGCAGTGGGTTTTTCCTCATCCCAGCCTTAGGGAATGTGACTGGCAAAGCCAGGCACTGAGCATCTTTAGAGCAGTAATTATGCCTCTGCTCAGATGAGCCAAGAAACCATTCAGGGACCTCTCGGCTCCCTGGAAAGCCTCTCTTGACTGCCCAGACAGGAAAACTGGATGGGATTTTCCCAGAGCACCCAGTGCTGGCTTAATTCTGTGCCCAATGGGGCAGACACACGGTTCAGACTCACTTTGATGTTGCATTCTCGTATCCCTGATACACCATCGCCCTAATTTGGTGCTCTGTTTGAAATCTTAGTTCAACCCCATTTGTAAGGTAATTTTGTGTGCAGGAGACACAAATTCTTCCAGTTGCTTGGGCAGCATCTTTCCTCCTCATGGCTGCATCAGTGCGTTTGCAGGCATCCTGTCTTTTACAGAAGTAAATAGGTCTTTGCCTTCTCCCCTCGGGGCTGAATCCAGGTTGTCTTTGCTTTCCACACGCAGATGAGCACAATTCTGTGCAGACTGCTCCCTGCAGTTAAATTTAAACCGTTCTGCCTCCAACTCTTCAGTATTTAAAAGAGTGTTGCTACTACAAGAGAGAAATCAAGACTTGGCAGAAGGAGAGTGAAGTTCTCTCTTCTGCCTGCCCTATTCAGTCTGGTTCTAAGCTGCTCTTTCTCACCAGAGTTTTAGTAGAGGCCTTTCTGTACTGCTGTGGGATCTTTCATCTCTCAGGTATGGGGACATACAGCTCACTGATGTAACCTCTATGTGACACTTGCAGGTTCTTGTGTCAATCGTTACTTCTCTGAAAGTAGACTTGTAATGATGTGCTGCTTCCTTTTAATGATTCTCTTGGATTGGGATTATGGATACACACACACACAGAGTCTTGGGTATCTCGTTCCTGCCTTCATTTCTCCTGTTGTGGGATTAGGAAAACTGATCTTTGCAGTGAAGATGGAGCATGTTAAAATGCTTGTGGAGTCTCAGGTGGAGAAACGTTTCCTGCTTCACACTTTGTACCCTGCTGGCATTCTGCCTGCACATTGCCCTCAGATCCCCTGGCAGCTTCTGGAGTATGGAAGTACAGCAATGACCCCTCACGAACCCACTGTCCACATCCCTGGTGTGAAGTGGGCTGGGATGGTCAGCTGGCTGCTGCATGAGCACCCTCCAAATCCCTGGGGCTTCTTGATGCCATATTGGAGATATCACCTGACAAGAGGTGCCAGTTTAAGGTTTGTTTCTCCACCGTTTCAGAGTTCTTTTTATGGGAGCTGCCCTTATATTCTCTTAAAACAGGGAGAACATTGATAAGAGTCAGTCTTGACTTCTCTTGTTGTAATCTTGTTTGTTAGTCTAAGGAAGTGGCAATTGGAATCTCAGTGCTGCAGCCTCTGATCCAGGCTCTTGAGTTTACCTGATCAATGCTCAAACAGACTCAACACTACCTGAAGCTGGATAGACTCATAATACTAGATGCACATTCTTATTGGGGCAGTTGACTTTAAAGCAATTTACCCCCGTTCAGGGTGAATTCCCATTGCTCAGAGCATCTTTGCTTCAGTTGAATGACTTTCTAACAGATAAAAGCTCCAGCTCAGCTCGAATATATGGCTTAATGCAGCAATTGTTGAGTGAAATCGTGAAGGGCTGTGTCATGCATGAGATCAGCGGTAGGACAGAATTCTCTCTTTTACCCCCTCCAAGCCCCAAAAAGAGAGATCTGTGTCTGTGTGATGTTAGGTTTGGGCTTTAAATGGAACACTTTCTACTCTGCCCAAATGGCAGCAGCAGCAGCAGCACTGGAGCTCTGATGAGCCTGGGTGGCTGCACAGTGCAGAACTGCTGTGGCTGTGCAGCTGCATGGTCCAGTGGTGGTGGTAGATTAGAAGATGGGTGAGTTCCTGGCTTCTGAACACCTCTGTAGCTAAAGCAGCTCCTAGAGTACAGATGGTGGTGGTCAGATCCTATTGCCACCTCCAGGACCAGGACCATGGAGGTGTCTGATCTCCCACATGCTGTGGTTGTCACTGTTCCTGATTCCCAGGGGAGTCTGAGCTTCTTTGAAGCAAAAGCCACTGTAGAAGCGAGTTGTGTGTGCAGTGGGACAGCGTGAGACTTGCTTTTATCCTGGTAATAGGAATTCTCAGTCTCTCTTCAGCATTATGTGACTGCTGTTTGATCATATACCTGTGCTAATTGTTTGCCCATGCTTCGTACCCTGCATCTTCAGCTCCAGGGGAGCCAAGCTCTGCAAAGCCACAGCCTGGCCCCCAGGAGCCTGTGGGAGGTGTGATGAAAGGAGAAAGCCAGTCCACAAAGCAGTCAGCTGGGGCTCTCCAGCAGCCTCTGCTGCCACCTGAAACAAAGGCTACAGCAGCAGCTCCCACCAGAATCGAGGTCACCATCCCAATACCCCTGGATATGTACCAAGACTCCAGAGCATCCGAAGACAAGAGTGAGTTGTGGGATCATCGAGGCAGAGAAGGCATTGGTGTAGATCCAGAGCTGGGAGCAGAGCTGGGTCCTGAGGTGCACACTGAGGGGTTGGCAGGAGCTGGTGGCACAGAGGAGACCCATATTAAAGATGGGCCATCTCCTTTATGTACCAGAGCCCCGTTAAAAGAAGATGCCAGTGGACAGGAGAGAGATGAAGACCGTGACATTGATGAAATGTCTGAGCAGAGTTTGCTTTCTCTGGTGGCTCAGCGTGAAGTGGGCTTGTGTCCAGCAGCTAAGGAAGCTCTTAAAGAAAACGTGTCCAAGGATGTCCTCAGAGACATCCCAGGAGAGGCACTTGTTGTTGAAGCTGAACCACATAAAGCAGGAGAGGACCAAGAGGAGAGGAGACAGCTGCTGGGAGGTGAAGAAGGTAGAGATGTCACCCAGTCAGAGCCTTCTGAAGTCATCTCCCAAACCGAAGCTGAGCCCAGGGAGGGAGAAGATTCTGGACCCACAGAGGTAAAAGATGATGTGCAAGGCAGAGATGCTCCTTTGGAAGAGGTTGTGCCAGGTACAGGAGAACGTCGAACACCCAAGAAGAAACCTCCTGCCCACGTTGCAGATAAAGCCACCAGTCGTGTCCCTCTCCTCAAAGGTGTGTGCTCCATTTGCCTGCCCTGAGCTCACACTGCTGGGGGCTTGCTCACGACAAGGCTGCCTGAACCAGCCCTTCAGCTTGCTGCTACCTCTTGAAGCCTGCTGCTTGGGACATGGCCTGGACCTTTGCTGTGAACTGATCTCCAAAGCACCGCTGCTTCCCCCTCCTGCTCCTTCCCTCTTTAGTTCCACCCCAGATGTCCCAGCACACTCGGTTTGCGTCCCTTGCATGGTGCTGGCGTGTCCCCAGTCATGCTTTGTTCACCTGGTTTTGGTTTGGTTTCCCTGGGTCTGTGGGGTAGGCACTTCAACTCACACCCAGGGAAGATGAAAATGGGATGGCCACAGCTGTGGTGTGTTGGAGTGGGGCTCAACCAGTGCTGGTTCCAGCAAGACACGTGCCATCTGGTTTATAGAATCATAGAATGGTTTGGGTTGGAAAGGACCTTAAGATCATCCAGTTACAACCCCCTGCCATGGACAGTGATGCCTCACACTAGATCATGTTGCCTGAGGCTCTGACTAACCTGGCCTTGAACACTGCAAGGGATGGGGCAGCCACAGCTTCTCTGGGCACCCTGTGCCAGCGCCTCAGCACCCTCACAGGGAAGAGCTTCTTCCCTGTATCCAGCCTGAACTTGCCCTGTTTCAGTTTGAACCCGTCACCCCTTGTCCTGTCACTCCAGTCCCTGATGAAGAGTCCCTCCCCAGCATCCCTATAGCCCCCTTCAGACACTGGAAGCTGCTCTGAGGTCTCCACACAGCTTCTCTTCTCCAGGCTGAACAGCCCCAACTTTCTCAGCCTATCTCCATACAGGAGGTGCTCCAGCCCCTGATCATCCTTGTGGCCTCCTCTGGACTTGCTCCAACAGCTCCATGTCCTTCTTATGCTGAGGACACCAGAACTGCACAGAGTTCTCCAGCCTATCACTGACATAAAGAGCTTCACCTCCTCCCCGCCTGCCTGGCCTATCTCTTAAACAGCCTATAACCTTCCATCCCAACACTCCAGTCACAGGAGCCATCCCACTATGTTTCTGTGATGCAAACCATGTCATATCCCCTTAGCTGTGCACACGTCCTTAATTCCTCTTGTTTATTCCCTACACTACAGGTATTTGTATAGAGGCAGTCTGAGCTGAGCTCCAAATGAAGCCAGCTCCAGGCTCCAAGCATCTATTATAGGTGCTGGGAGTGTTGGGATGGATTGATGCTCTTTCCCCCAGCGCATCTAGTTTAAAGCTGCCTTGACCAACCTGGTGTGTTTTACATGGGTCCACTCTCTGGTGCACTAGCTCTTTATATTTGCTTTCTTAAAGGGAAGGGAGGAGGAAAAAGGCAAGTGAGACATGAGGTCTAACCCCACATTGATCCTGTTCCTTGTGCTTTACCCTTCAATACCCACTACTAACTGCTGCTGGAGGTGAGGTCTGCAGCTAGAAAGCATCCTGCTGCGATGGCAGTTGTGGAGCGCGTGTCCCCTGGTGGTCCAGGGCTGTGTTTGGGGTCTTGTGGGGTGTGTGAGGCCTGGCTCTTGGGTGCATCTCAGTGGGTGTCTCTAGGCTGGGCAGTCACTGTCCTGGGTGTGAGTTCACACTTGAACACCCGATGGTCTCTCAGCACGTTGTACCTCAGCGCTGGCTGTTGAGAGCCTGGGGGAAGCTCTGCCCTTCTCCCTAGTGCCACATCCCAAAAGCTGGCTTGGCTGCTTCCATTAGCCTGGAGCTGGTGCTCTGCTCTGCAGCAGAGAGTGTGTTCTCTGCTCTGTGGGGCTCAGGAAGAAATTGTTGATGGGGCTTTCTCCACTGGGGCTAAAGCTCATAACATATTTCTCATCGTTCAGTCCCTAGTAACCCATCGGGAAGCTGCGCACACGTGCTGCAGGCATTGGCATGGCTTAGAATCCCTAACATCAGAGCCTGGAAACCATGGTGGGGTGGGGATGCGTTGCCCAGAGTCCCAGCTTCTGATTCAGTAGGAGGAATAGGAATCATTTTCTTTAATGGTTTTATGGTCTTTTCTTTCTTTGCCTTTGTGTTCATCTCCAGCCTTGCTCCTTCCGCAGTGTAACTGGGTTTGGGAAGGGTGGTGCATCCAGCAGCTCTGGGAGTGGCTGCAATGGGTCAGTGCTGGATTCACAACATTGTTCATGTCACTGGGAAAGGCCTGACCCACCAGGACAAGTTTCCAAGCCATTGGGGAGAATATCAGCAGCTTTTCGTCCCAGAACAGGGAGGAATTAGCTGAAAACAGGGAAAAGGAGCTTTGTTATGAGGGCCTCATAGTGAAAGCATCCTCCCTGTTGCTGATTTCCTAAGCAGCAGTACTGCAGTCTGTGTGCTCGTAGACTAATGGGACAAAACACTGCAATAGTGTCAGAGTCACTCTAAGCTTGATACAAATCAAGTAGGACAAGAGCTAAAACCTTCATACCCTGCAGGGTCTGACCCGGATGCACAGGCTGCTGGGGAGGCAGAAGGCAGGAGACATTGGGTTAACAATGGCCTGGGGTAAAAATGCTTTGAAAGCTTAACAGAGCTCATCCCAGAATCCCACGCTGGTTTGGGTTGGAAGTTCCAACCCCCTGCCATGAGCAGGGACACCTCCCACTAACCCAGGTTGCTCCAAGCCCCTTCCAGCCTGGCCTTGCACACTGCCAGGTGCTGCTAGGATTGGGGCATCCTTCAGTGTTAGCCTTCATTTAGATGAGTGTTAGAACCAATGGGTGTTTCAGGGAGGGAGACTCATGTTTAGGTCAAAGAGAACTGTCCTGAACTGAACAGATGCTCCTGGAACTGAGTGCAGGTCTGGGCAAAATGGTTTCATAAAGCTTTTGTGTGTGTGTGTCTGATGTTCCAGTGATGGCTAACACACTGTTACCTGTGCACAGGGTGATCTGGTAACCCAGAAAGAACGTGCTTATGCTGTGGAAGTATTTCTGCAAGAAATGAGTGACTATTTCTAAGAGCAGGATTTCATCTAATGGGGAGCAGGACCCTGGAGCACCCACCCAGCATGCATGTGGCTGCAGAACAGGCATTGTCATCTCCCTGGGGTTTACTGACCAGTCCCAAGGAGTGTAACTGTGTGTTTCCATTGCTCAGGTCGTATTGACAGCAAAGACAAGGAAGGGACTGAAGCTGAGGAAAAGAAACTGAAGGTAAGCTAAGAACTAAAACCAGAGGTGTCACCAACACACTGAAGTGCTGAGCCCATTCCTGGCTCCCTCTCCCACATTCCTGGCTCCCTCTCCCACAATCCTGGACCACGGCTGTGCCTCTTAGGATATCTTGTCATTATTTTCTGTTCTTCCATCTCCCTCACAAGAGTGTTTTATGTTGTCTTCCCTCACCCTGGGTTGGATGGTGCAATGCATGATGATCTTTGAGGGTGAGGAGGGGAGCCAAACCTAAACCAAACCTGTAGCTCGTGGGGTTGGTGGATGGTAGAGAGCTGTGTCCTCAGCCCAAGACTGGAAAGCGGGCAACTGGCTTTGCTGGGCAAACTGGTGTGGAAGCAGACTCAAGTCCATGTTGGGCTGGAGTGGGGACAAGCAGTGTCACAGTGAAAGGAGCAAGGCATGTAATTAAAATTTAAATTAAATAATCTAGGCCTTGCAGGTGAGGAGCAGAGTTTGATAGTGGGTAAATGCCAGATGTCGAAAGAGCTCTGTCCCACTGCTTGTTTGAAGGAGGTTTAGTTCAGGTGAGCATTAACATGGCCAGTACAGTACCTGGGTGAGATGATGGACAAGCTGATGGGCAGGTCAGTGGGTGAAGAATTAAAGGTAAGGAATATCCTCATTTCAAACAATGAGAAATTGGGTCTTTCTCTAGGACTGTGCCAGGCACTTGACATGGTACCACATCTAGACAGAAGCAGAGATCCCTTATTGACAGAGCAGGAGGGATGGGGCTGAGAGACCTCAGTGCAGCTGTCTGCAGCTCCCAGCAGTGCTGGTGTTGACAGTGCTGTGTCTGCAGCATCTTTGCCAGTGGAGCACAGGGAGTTTGGGAGGCAATAGAGCAATTCAGGGGGTAAAAGGTGCCATTGGTGTGGAGGGCAGTGGTATGGGCAGGCTGGCACTGGTGACACTTCCCCAGAAGGTGCCTGGGTGTTGCAGCCTATGGGAGGAGTAGAGCTGAGGTATATCTGGGCTGTGCAGCTCTGTGCTGCAGGGAGAGGGCAGTGCAAGCCATCACCTACCTCACACCAGTTCTGCATTGCACCTTCTAATCCTGTTTGATGTGGGTGAGCCCCTTTTGTTTCCCTCCCATACTGATTTGTGTTCTGTTCCACTTTTATTTTGTTTCCATGTTTAAGAACTCCTCACCCTGCACTGCCAAACCCCCAGGGGATAGACCCTGCATCCCCCCCCAACGACACACCTCCTCTAGCACAGCCCCTTCGAAAACACCCTCCAGCCCTGCTTCCACCTCTAAACGAGCCTCTTCTGTCACATCCCGACCTGCCAGTACAGGAACACAAGAAAGGAGAGCCAAGGTAAGGAGGTGGGGATGGTAGAGAGGCAAAGCGGCCTTCGGAATACCTGAAGGCATTCCTGACAGGTCTGACTGTCATGGGCAGTCTCTCTGTGCCCTGTTCAGTGGAGAGGGTGGGATGTGCTTCCCCTTCACGCCAGCCTTGGTGCTCAGGTTTGGTATTTGAAGCAACACAGGCCCCCTGCGCTGCATTACAGCAAAACCATCTCCCTGCTGCAGGGTGGTACCTGCTCTTCCTGAGGCATTTCCAGGTCCCTTTCTTGTTTTGCAGCTTTATGCTGTGTTTTATGGGTGCGTTGGCTGTAAACAGCAGATGTATTTGAAATGTGCCAGAGCCAGATCTGCCAGGTGCTGCATAGAGCCTAGGGAATGCACCCACATCCCTCTCTCACTTTGCAGTGTAAGAAGTAGCTTGGAGTTTCCCTTTGTGGTGTTTAGTCATGCAAATACACTGATGGCGAGGGAAAGAGCAGGGATTGCAGATGAAAGACAGTGGGATGTGGTTTGAGTGGATTACAGGTGGGGATAAAGGAGGTGCTGGGGAGTCTGGCACTGTGCTCCTGAATGGAGCTTCTGGTCTGGTCAGTGAGTTTGGGCCTACAAGAAATCTGGTGAAGGACTTTTTACAAGGGCAAGTAGGGATGGAACAAAGCTTTTAACCAGGCCTGAGTGTGAGGTGGGTTATGTAGCTGAAGCTAAGGGCTCATGAAGGAAAGCGGCAGGAGTGACACTGCGGTGGTTGTCATAAGCACTGTGATGGGAGACGGTGTAAATGGGCACATTGCAGGTACCTGTGTGTGGGGAGACCCATGGGAGCTCCTGTGGGCTGTATCCTGTGTGGCTCTGATCCCCGGTGTAAATGGGCACATTGCAGGTACCTGTGTGTGGGGAGAGCCGTGGGAGCTCCTGTGGGCTGTATCCTGTGTGGCTCTGATCCCTGGGCATTCCCCCCTCCATCAGCCTTTCCCCTTTGTGTCCCCAGGGCTCGGAGATGAGAGGTGGCACGAAGGCCACGCCGCGGGCTGGAGCCGGGCAGGCACAGAGGAACTCCACCAATGCCACACGCATCCCAGCAAAGACCCCCACGGCCCCTAAGACACCCCCCAGCTCCGGTAGGTGATGGGGAGCACGGGTGCTTTGGGGGTGCTCCCAGGCTCTCCATGCAGTTAGGTGGGGGTCACACGCAGCGCTAAGGCAGGGCATGGCCAGCAAGATGAGGCCTGTGTGGTGACTGGGAGTTGCTCAGCCTTGTCACCAGGCTGTGTGTGCAGGGCTAGGGATGACTCCTCTGAAGGGAGCCTCTCTGGATGCCTCTTTGCTCTGCTCATACAGTTGCCAGTGTGTAGGAGAGGGCAGTTGCTTTATCCCTTTGGGATTTCTTTCAGTTTGGAAGATTTAGGCAGCTCCATTTTTTAATCCATCTCTTCCTTTTCTCTTGACAATATTTCACCAAGAGCGGGGGCAAGAGGATCAGTTCTTCGAGTGCAGGAATGGAGATTAGCACGTTCTTCTCAGAGAAGAAACCCCCAGAAAGCATCAGGCATTGAATTCCCATTATAAATGGTGCTTTTCACTGAATATACATGTGTTTGCTTCATACTTAACCAGAGCTGCATAAAACTTTAAATCAGTTAAATTTCCAGCTTTATTATGTTTAAACATCTTTCTCATTCATTAAACAGGCAGAAAGGAGCAGAAAAAACCACCTCCGGCAGCAGCAAAGTCTGAGAAAGGTGATGTCTAAGAGTTTTCTCTTCTTCCATTTCTTCTCAAACTGGGGCCAGTTCTGAGCTGCTCAATGATCAGCCTTATTTAATGACATAAAAGCATTATGTATAAATGCTTCCAAATTCCTAACAGAAAAGTGGTTTTGTCTGTAATTGGTCACTCGTGCTTGGGTGGGGGTCTTACCAATAAGCCAGTCAGTGAAGACCGTCTGTGAAAGCAACTAGGAAATTGCCTTTAGTCACAGTTTTCACCTCAAAACGAAGTAGAAGAAAGTGCAGCCATCTCCCCCCTGCTGCTGGGCTGCAGTAGGAGCAGTGGGTGGGCCTTGGGGCCAGGCACATCAACCCTATACAGTCAGGGAGGAAAGGGTTGTGTACCCACCTTGCTTATCCCGTGCTTGCCTCCCTCTGTGAACTCCAGGTGAGCAGCCAAAGTCTGGAGACAGAAGCGGTTACAGCAGTCCCGGCTCCCCCGGGACTCCAGGCAGCCGTTCCCGCACTCCCTCTCTGCCCACCCCACCAGCCAGGGAGCCCAAGAAGGTGGCAGTGGTCCGCACACCACCCAAATCTCCTGCCTCTGCCAAGAGCCGCATCCAGCCCTCAGCCGCGCCGATGCCGGACCTCAAAAACGTCAAGTCCAAAATCGGCTCCACTGAGAACCTGAAGCACCAGCCCGGAGGTGGCAAGGTAAGGGTGGACCCTGCTTTCCCAGGGGCATGCCTGCAGGGACATGGGGTGCTTGGTGCTGTGCCTGGGAGGGGAGAGCCCTGCCTGGAGCAGCAGCAGCCCCGCTGGGCTCAGATGTGCAGCAGTGGGCAGCCAGGCTGCAGCTGGTCTCCTGCCTGCTGCTGCTTTTCGAGTCTGTTGGGTTCAGTGGGTTGGGGACGTGTCTGAAGCTGCTGGCTGGCTTAGTGCAGTACAGCTGTCCTGCAGAGAGCTTGGGATGTGGCACATCAACACATGGACAGGCTGCCAGGGGATTGCCATTCCCTTGTGGTGTCCGGTGAAGGAGAGCACACTGTGACCTGCAGCCCTCAAGAGTCGCAGGGTCAGGGGTGTGTTTCTGAATCCTGTACCCTTGTCTGGAACAGTCCCTTCAACCCTGCCTCCGTTCCTCTGCCAGGGGGCAGACAGGATGGGCTCCTCCCTGGGAGGCTCCCAGGCTGGGCACTGTTTTGAGAACGTTGTGATTTTGGATCCAGCTCTGTTGGCAAGAGTCTGGATCGTGTTCTTGCTACCTGATGCGTGGCCAGAACTGGGAGCATTACTATCCGTGCAACCACTAGTGCTTTTCACTCCCAGAGAGGCTGTTTCACAAGCAGCAAAGTGAACTCCGTGCTCCAGGTGTTTGGGAATGAGGGTCTCATGCAAGCCCAGCAGAGGGTTTGGGTGAGGGAGTGGGGTGAGCTAACCCATCCATGCAGCCCCAAGAGCAGTGGTGTGGGGTCACACAGCTCCAGCTGAGGTGGAGGCTGCTCATAGGATCATAGAACCCCAGACTGGTTTGGGTTGGAAGTTCCAGCCCCCTGCAGGGACCTCTTCCACTGGAGCAGCTTGCTCCAAGCCCCTGTGTCCAACCTGGCCTTGAGCACTGCCAGGGATGGGGCAGCCACAGCTTCTCTGGGCACCCTGTGCCAGCGCCTCAGCACCCTCACAGGGAAGAGCTGCTTCCCTCTATCCAGCCTGAACTTCCTCAGCACCCATCTGACCCTCTCTGCACTGCTCCCTTGCACTGTGTGGCTGTGTCCTTGCTGCATGGGTAGAGACAGGCCTGCACCTGGTTCCTCTGAGTGATGCAGGCCCAGGTGGCTCTTGCACAGATGTTCAGTGCCAGGCCTGCAGGTCTGGTGGCTGCTGCAGTGAGGTTTCCCCTCTGCCTGTGCCCTGCAGCCCTTGCTGTGTGGCTGCTCATGCAGTGCATGCCATGCTGTGTGAGTGGGGAACTCTGAATGTTTGCCATTGGCATGGGAGGAGGCTTTGAGATGGCCTCTCTTCCCTATTTCAGATAGCAGCCTGCTTTTCCATTCCCTTCCGTGCTGGTGGTTTACTGGAGAATGCACTTTTTGCTTTGTGCTGCAGGCCTGGCTGTTGGACATGAGCAGAGCAGCACGTGTCCATCCAGCTGCCTGTGTTTGGGGACCTCCTCGTTTTCCTGCTTCAGTTTTTCCTGCTGCCCCCAGAAGATGCTGCTCTTGAGGGCCCCTCACATTCACTGTGCATCACTTAAATTGTTTGCTCGTCCTTTTTAATCCAGCTTTTATGAGGGTCTTTTTTCTCTGCATCTCTGTCAGGCAACATGTTTATTGTTGTCACTGAATTGGGGACAATTCCTTGCTCTTTGCAGGGGAGAATGGCAGGATGCTCTGCTGCTCTGCTGGGGATTTTGTAGGACGTGAGGCTGCTCTTAGCAGAATGGTTGCAGCTGGAGCAGAAGGGGCTGATCCCACAAGTCTGATTTTAGGGTGGCCACAAGATGGGTCTGGAGCCTGCTCCCAGTGCAGATTGCAGACCCCCAGCTTAGGGAAACAAATGACCTGGGGCCCACACACCAGAAGTCAGGCAGGCCACATCTCTTTCAGTGTTTCTGCATTGTCTGAGCACTTGTGTTGTTACTGGATCACGGAGTATGGCTCTGGCAAAGCCTGGTCTCGCTGAACCGCATCCTCACGTGCAGGATCAGTTGGTGTAAAACTTGGAAAATGATGCTAGAGGCATGAGCCAGCTTTGGTGCTTCACTAGGGGGTAGTGAGGGGCAGGCTGGGGATGTGCTGGGATGGAGGGTGAGGTTGCCTGCTCAGCCAGCTCTGGGGACACTGTTGTCCAGGCACTGCATGTGCAGTGGGGTGTGGTGCTGCTCTCTTGGAGGATGCTGTCTCTGTCTCTAATGAGGGTTGTGTTTCACATGGGCTTTCTCCTGAGGGATCACAGGCCTTGTGTGCCTGCTGGGTTTTACCTCTGGTTTATACTTGCACAGGTCGGAAAGCCACTCCAGTTCATACAGGGGAAGGAGCAGGGACAGTCTTCATCTTTGTGTTGTCTGTGTGTGGGGTCACTGCAGCATAGCTGCACTTCTAAAACCCAGACAGGGAAAACAGCTAAATGAGTACATACTAAATGGAAACAGCTTCATTAGCACAGAAGTGTGTGTGTGGTGGGGAGGGCAGGCATGCCTGGGGACTAGAGGGTGACATTAGCATGGTACGTGCTTCCTCCGTGGCACCAAGCCATTTCCAGCCCCTCTCCCAGCTGAGGTGTGTTAGGAATAGGCAGTAGACATGTTGCATCTGCTGCCTTTGGGGTGGGCTTTCTCTCAGCTCTATCTTTCCTCCTTCCACTGAGCTGAAGCTCAGTGCCCTGGGGTTTGCTGCCCAGCAAGTTCCCTGTTTCGTTCAGTGACAGAAAATGGGGTGAGCTGGTTTTCTTCTGTTCTGTGGCTCTTCTCAGTAGTGTTCGTGGCCTGGAAACGCAGGCTGCCTCACTAGCCTGATGCATCCAATCTCTAGCTATAACCTGACCACCTCCATCTTCAGTTTCCAACCTGTGAGTTAACATATCTATGCAGCAAGCCAGATACTCTCCTTAGCTCTTGGCATGGAAGGCAGGTTCCTGCTTGTAGGGATGTAACACATGGTCAAGCTGCAGATGGTCATGTTGTTTCTCACACTCTTTTCTGGCTACCAAAGGTGCAGATTATTAATAAGAAGCTGGACTTTAGCAGCGTTCAATCCAAGTGTGGCTCAAAGGATAATATCAAACACATCCCGGGAGGAGGCAGTGTGAGTACCTTCACACTTTCAATGCACTATAATACTGCTGATTCTAAGTGGCATGTTGTGTACACTAAAGCGCTGATGCTATCTGCAGTGACCTGCCATCAGATAGCTATTGGTGACGTGCAATGACTCTTTTCTGGCTACCAAAGGTGCAGATTGTTAATCAGAAGTTGGACTTTAGCAGCGTTCAATCCAGGTGTGGCTCAAAGGATAATATCAAACACATCCCAGGAGGAGGCAGTGTGAGTACCTTCACACTTTCAATGCACCCTAATAACCCTGACTCGCAGTGGCATGCTGTGTACACTAAAGCGCCGATGCTATCCGCCGTCAGATAGCCATTGGTGACGTGCTGTCCTTTAACCCCATTAACCCAAAAGACATGGTGAGATGAGCCCTAACGAGTCCTGTACATGCCTGACATGGACAGAACTAACTGACCCGCGCAGAAACCATGTCTGTAACAAAACATCCCATGAACTGGAAGGTTTGACGCTACCTGGAAGGCTCGATGCCTCATTGTCTGCAGGATGGGTGGCCTCTGGCAGACAGTGACGTAGTTGCTGATGCAGTAGACAGATTTATAAGCAAGCACAGTCCTTGTTGCTTAATAGACTGCTAAATTGCACATGACTGCCCAACACGTGAACGTGCAGGTTCCTGCCCATTCCCATCAGGCCAGTATGATCCATGCAAATGCTAAGCTTCTGTTTGCTGTGTCCAGCAGTGCCCATAGAGGCTGAGCTAAAATACTATTGAGTGAATTGATGGGAGCGCTGGCATTTCCAGCTATTCCCAGATAAACAGCTGGACTCAGCTTTCCATCACTGTGCCAGAAACCTGGAGAAACTCCACAGAGGTTGGTGGGTTTACACCAGTCCCTCTGGAGACATCGTGGGTCTGGGCAAGATGATGGGCTGAGGAGGGCGCATCACTGAGCCCCCAAACAGTGTGACCCAGGGGCTGTGCTTGCCTGCTCTGAGGAAGCTGTCTGGTGCCTCTCAGATGTTCCTGATGGATTTTCTTTGTGCTGCTTTTGATCCCTATGGATGCCCTCCCTGAGAAACTGGGCATTGCAGAGGGCTTGGCATGTAAGCACTGGGGCATAACTGGGTTTGCAGCCCCCATCTTAAATTTGACGTCATTCTGCATTTATTTAACAGGCCAGAGGAGCTGCTTTGCAGAGGTCACACCTCTGTGAAGCAGGTTCCGTGCTTGTTTTGCTCTTTCTTACCCCAGGGTCCTGCTCTAGCTTGGACTGCTTGGTGCTTGGTGGACCACTTGTGACACCAGGAGTTAGTGTTCCTCAGGAATCACCTGTGCTGTGGCTGGTCATGAGCTTCAGCACGGTGTGGTGAGCTCACCCTTGTCTCCACTGAGAGCTCACTCCACAGCAAGCATTTGCAGCTGTAGTGGGTTAAGAATTACCTGGATTTTTGGCTGGAGGTTGTCATCCCTCCCCAGGCTCTGCCAGCAGTGAAAGTAGTGGGATCACTGCCTGGCTGCTGGGCCATGGAGAGCAGCAGCTCAGCTCTGGGTGCTCGGACCAAAGCCATGTGCTGACGTGGCTGTCCTGGGCCAGAGCTGTGCCTTGGGGCACCTTGGACAGAGGGGCAAGGAAAGCACCAGGACTGGATGGCCACCACACCTCACCCCTCCTCTGCTGCTTCAGGAGGAATGAGCTGGTGCTGCAGGGACCTGGGGTTGGTACCTCTGTTTTTTAAGCCAGTGGATGCTCCAGCAAAGTGATGCGTTAGGCAGAAGTTGACCTGAGCATTGCTGATGTGGAGAGGTGGGACCCCAGGTCTCTGCTTCCCAGGCAAGCAACTCTGCTAAAATGGGGAGGCCCCTTCTCTGCTCCCCAGCAGGATGGTAAGGGGTTAATGGAATCTGTAAAAAGAGAGAACTTCAGTTGCTGATAGCTTGCTCTGGAAATGGGAGGTCTTTCAGTCCCAGGTCTCAGTGGTGCCTGAATTCCTCATAGGCCCTTGGGTCACACTGGGATTAGAAAGGGATTAGACTGTCCTTTTGGGATCTGCTTCCTGCCTTCTGCCTTCACTGTGCTTTCCTCCTGCCCTGTGCATCAAGGTGTGATCTTTCCCCAGCACTGTCTCTACGTCTGTGTCTGCCATGTGCTCCCAGAGCCAGGGATTGCTCTTGGCCCCTCTCTCTGTCTCCACTCTCTGTCAAATGTGCTTTTAGATACGCATGAGCATCGAGACAAGGTAGGCCCCTGGCTCCATGTGTGGGTAGGATGGGATGGTGGCACTGAGCCTCTCTTCCCCCATTCTTTCCCATGATGGAGGGGGAGTGTTTCTCAGTGTTGTGCACATGGTCCAGCACCTAGCTCTGAGGGAGATGGGGCCAGCAGGAGAACTGAAGGATGCACCTTCACCCTGGGGCTTTGGAGTCAGCACAGGGTGCTTGGGTGCAGTGGAGAGCAGTGGCTACAGTGAGTCCAGAGGCTGCCTGGCTGCTTGGAGGGGTGAGCTTCTTTGCTGAGGTCCCTTTGGTGGTGGCACATCCTTCCCGAGACGTGTGCACTGTGTGCAGCACCCAGTGAAGGCACAGAGAGCAGCATACGCTTCCCATGAAGTCCAGGCTATTGCTGAGAGCCAGGCTCTTCCCTGTGAGTAGGACCCAACCTTGAGGTGCTGCTGATCTCATTTCTCCTGCACAGCCCCACTGGGACAGCAAGTAGCGTGCTGGTTCACACGAAACCAGGGTCCGAGGGCACTTGTGGCCTTACGGGGATGTTTCCTCACCCCTTGCCTCCTGCTCCTAACACAGCTGGTGTGTCTGTGCCGTGGTTGCTGTCCCTGACAGAACCCTGCAGTGGTTTGGTTGCTGTTTTCCAGTGTGGTGTTTCAACCTCTAACGTTACCACTAAACAGTTCCTCGTGTGTGCGTCTCGTGTCACCCAGCGTCTGTGTGCAAGAGGCCCTGGCACCGCCTGGGATGGGGCAGTGCTGTGGGATTGCTGGAGATGGGATGGGTAAAAAAGTGAAAACCAGAGCTCAATGTCATGCAATGCTGTTGTGGGTCCATAAGTGGCATTGCCAGCTGAATTCCTGTAAAGGGAACTCCTGCCTGACAGTTAACCTTGGCCTTGCCTTTTTATTTTTTTTCTTTAACCCTGGTTTCCATTACAGCATCTTTCAGAAATGCATATTTTGGTTACTCTTTTTTAAAAGTTCTGTGCACATTGATCATTTCTGTTCTTTCAGTTTTTGTGGACATAAGCTTTATGTTTTACACCAGAAAAGGTATTTATTTTTTACGTTTTTCTCTCTGGTATTATTTCCTTCTTTTGGATGATGTGTATGCAAATCTGAATTAATCACCACTCCACTTTCTCTCTCACTTTAAGCACTTTAAAATTGCCTCTACTTCCCCCCTCTGTGGAGAGGTGATCTCGTGCATGCTGACATGTTAAAGAGAGGCTACTGCACACGGGCATTACTGATCTCCCATTTCTGATGACAGTTTCTCTTGTATCGTTAACCTTCCTGGGGTTTGAGCTGTCCTTTCCCTTGACTCCAGATCAGGTGCCGGGGTGTGTTGTGCCTCCCCCTCCCCACTCGCCCATGGTGGCCATCCCCTCACTGCCTTCTCCTCTCTCATATGGACAGGTTCAAATCGTTTACAAGCCAGTCGACCTGAGCCACGTGACGTCCAAATGTGGTTCCCTGGGCAACATCCATCACAAACCAGGTACCCTTTGACTCTGCAGCACTGGGTGCGGGTCCTTGGGAGCTCACAGGATGCTTCCTGGTGCGCACTGGGAGATGGGAGAGGGTTGGAGTGCTTCTCTTCACTCCCTGCTTATGGACCTGAGCATCAGAGTGAGTCCTGGGCTGCTGCCCACTGATCCCAGCTCAGGGACTGTCAGATCCTCTCCAGTCTGCCTGACTGCTTGGTTGGAGGGTAGGGGTCTGGTGTGATCTGTGAAGGTGCCAACACATCCCTCTAAAGGGAAGTGTTTAGGAACAAAGAGGGGGGACTGCTGGCGTTCCGTGGGTCAGGTTAGCTCCCAGCCCTTGGTTCTGTAGAACACCTGGGATGCCTGTCAGCTCTGCACAGCAGCCTTTGGAATATCTGCTTCCCGTTTGCCCTGGTTCCGGGGTTTCCCACATCACCCTGGGCTCCCTCTTGCTGCTGTTTTCCTGCTCCTCACCCTCAGTGTGCTCTGCTTGAGCCGCCTCAGTTGGCTGGCACAGCAGCTAACCCAGCCCGTGCTCCTCTCTTGCAGGCGGTGGCCAGGTGGAGGTGAAATCTGAGAAACTGGACTTCAAAGATAAGGTGCAGTCAAAAATCGGGTCCTTAGATAACATCAGCCACGTCCCTGGAGGAGGGAATAAAAAGGTAAAGGGGCACTGGGTTGAGAGGAGGCGTTGCTGTTGTGCTGCAAGGCTCTGTCTGCCCTGTGAGCAGAGTGGTGCAGCAGGTCCTGCTCACCCAGCTCATCTTAGAATCAGAGAATAGTTAGGGTTGGAAAGGACCTTAAGATCATCCAGTTCCAACCCCCCTGCCATGGGCAGGGACACCTCGCACTAAACCGTGGTACCCAAGGCTTCATCCAACCTGGCCTTGAACACTGCCAGGGATGGAGCATTCACAACCTCCCTGGGCAACCCATTCCAGTGCCTCACCACCCTCACAGGAAAGAATTTCCTCCTTAGATCCAATCTAAACTTCCCCTGTTTAAGCTTGAACCCATCACCCCTTGTCCTATCACTACAGTCCCTAATGAAGAGCCCATCCCCAGCATCCCTATAGGCCCCATCTTTAGACCCCACGGCCTCTCCTCTCTGCGTGCCAGGCAGCACTTCTTTCCCAGTGCTTGGAGCAGTGTTCTAGTGTGGTGTGGTCTGTGCTGCCTGCAGAAGAAAGGGGATCTCCTCTTCCTTCAACCTCAGGCTCTGAGCCAAGGCTGTGCAGGGAGCAGTGTGTGTGTAGGGGGGGACTTACATTGAAAGACAAAAGCCAGCCAGGTCAGGTGAAAGAACCTGAGCTGAGCTGGTCCTGCTGGGGCTTCAGGGGTGACTTCACAGGGAGTCTTAGCCAAGTAAAGGCCCTCTACAACCTCTCTTCAAGGACAGCCACGTCCTTGCAGGCAGGAGCAGGGCGATGTGGGGGGCACAGAGCTGTGGGCCCAGCCTGCTGGCACACGTGGTTGCATTTCTCTGGGGAAAAGTGGGATTTGTCTTGCTTGGTTTTCCAATGCTGTTTTTCTCAATGGGAGGGGAAGCTGTGTTTCAGTTCCTCTGTCCTGGCACTTGGTTCTTGGCCACGTTTGCTCTGTGCACTCCCAGCTCTTTGCTGGCCTCTGGCTGAGGGATCGCTTGACTTCCTTACCCTTCTTCTCTCTGCTGCCATGCATCAGCCTGCCCTGTGCTTCACTAAGCCCATTTCCATCGTTTTCATTCCAGTGATGATTCTTTCACATCCTGGCACATTCACTGGGCTGGAGGTTGAAGAACTTGCCTTTTGGAGGGGTAAAGGGGTGGCTCGGCAGTGGCATCACCTGCCTCAGCTTTCGTGTGGCAGCTTCCCATACCCTGCCTAAATCCTGGAGCTGCAGCATGGTTCAGATGCTGCCTTAGGTGCCTTCCTTTGTCCAGCCCGCTTTTCCCTTGGCACCAGGGAGCATCCTCAGGCCGTGCTGCTCTGAGGTGAGGTGCTCTATCCACAGGAGGGGGCAGGACACAGTTGAGACCCATCAGCCCTCCACGTAGGGCGGCTGAGAGCAGCTCCACTGCTCCTTCCCCAGCCTTCCCCATGTCTGCTCCTTGCTCTGCAGCGCAGAAGATCCAGGATTGGCCCCACAATCCACAGCCCTCCAGGCTGGTGCCTGGTTCATGTGCTTCTTCCTCTTGCATTGGATTCCCTGTGGGAGCTCAGTGCTCCGAGCTCTGCCGCGTACCTGCGCCCGCAGCAGCGGCTCTCCTTGGCTGCACATGGAAGGCTTTCCTCCTCTCTTCAAAGGCAGCTGCTGCTCTTCCTCTGAGCCACTGAAGGACCCCGTTTTCCAACTCTTTTTCTGCCCAGTTTTCTATTTCTTTTCTCTGTTTTTTCCCCTTTTTCCCTCTGGTTGACACTGGTTGCACCTTGGGTCTTGTTGCTGATGCGTTCTTTGCACCCCACCGCCCTGGGCGGGTTTGTTCACCTGTAGAGAGAGAAAGGCAAGGAAGACAAGACCCGGCCCCAGGCTGCTCAGACCCCAAGCCCAGACCCTGCTGGGTTCCAGGCCCTGGTGCTGGAGCCACTCAGCCCCCCGGAGAGCCAGCTCCCAGCCTTGCACTTGGCTGGGGAGGGCACCAGTAAGTAGCAAACCTGATCCCCTGCCCCTCTGCTTGCCAGGAGGAGAGGGGTTTGGCTCATGGGAGCAGCTTTGTGCCCAGCTGGGGTAAGGGGAAGCTTTGTGCTGTATGGGAACCCCATCCTTTCCATAAAGCTTTGCTGGGGGAGCGGGAGCAGCCCAGGTTGCGCTTGGCACCCACCGCCACACCGGGAAGGGTTTGGCAGCATCCCTGGGTGCTCCAGTCCCGTGGTGCCAAGGAGCTGAGCTCGGCCAGTACAAACCTCACTGTGCAGCCTGCACCCCCCCGCTCAGCTCCCCCTGCTCCCGTTGCAGATTGAGACCCACAAGCTGACCTTCCGCGAGAACGCCAAAGCCAAGACCGACCACGGCGCCGAAATCGTGTACAAGTCCCCCACCATCTCCGGAGACGCCTCCCCGCGCCGCCTTAGCAACGTCTCCTCCAGCGGCAGCATCAACCTGGTGGACTCCCCGCAGCTCGCCACGTTAGCCGACGAGGTGTCCGCGTCGCTGGCCAAGCAGGGCTTGTGATCGCGGCGCGGCCCGGCCCGGCCCGGCGGGCAGAGGGGAGACACAAAAGAAATAAGAAAGGAAAACGAAACAGAAATAATCTGGCCTTCTTCTTCCTCTGTTCCTTTTACAGCTGCTCCCCACCCCCACTGGTTCATGATTTAACCTGCTTTTACCGTTCATTCAGCTCTAGCTCCAGGACTCCAGAGTCAGTGACACTGCGAGGTAGAAAACCTCCTCTCCCCCTGCTCCCCCCGAGCTCCCTCAGCCCCTGGAAGCTCCCCTGAGCCCTGCCGGGGACCGCGTTCACCACCCCAGGAGCGCAGGGGCACCGCAATGGGGTCCTCATGGCAAGGGGACATCTCCTGCCCGGGCTGGGGGGCGGCCTGCAGGCAGCGCAGGCAGGGCTGTGGGTGCCGCAGCCGGGAGGAGCCCTCCCTCCCCGCAGTGAATGTCCCTGCCCCTTTGGAAGAACCGGTTCGGTCCCCCCCTGCGAGCCCGGGTGTGGATGAAGGTAACCCCAGGCCCCCCCAGCTCCGGCACCGGCAGTCCCGGCCCTTCCCCTCTCGGTGGCTGTGCTGGAACCGCTGAGTGGATGAGTAGAGGCTTCCCCCCCCCCCCAGTTCCTTTGGCAGCCCCTCGTGTCGTAGAGTAGATGTGTCTGTAGCCGCTTGGACCGTGCAGGGTGGTTGTGTTCCTGAACGAGCATGTGTTTCAGATGATGCTAATAAACGCTGTCAGTGGTTGTGAGCTGCTCCTGGCCAGGGGGAGGCCCCAGCTCGGGCACCGGGAAGGGGGGGGGGGTGGCTGAGGGGCACCCGCAGCTCCCAGGCTGGTGTGGGCCCTGGATTTGGGTGCAGGTTGTGACGTTTTGGGGTCGTTTCTTTCTTTTGTTTCCCCTGCAAGGTCAGCTAAAGGGATGGCGGAAGCGGCAGCTCCACGGCTCTGCTGGTCCCGTGCCTTTGGCCGCGGTAGGAGACAACTGGGAGGACGTGAGGGGGGGTTCTTATGGGCAGCTCCCTCTGATCCCATCCCGCACTTGGGGGCCAGAGGCCGCTCCTGGCACTGCCGTGATCCTGCCTCGGGTTCGCAGCGTGTTGCCTCTCACGATGTCCTTCACCCAGCACCACGCAGGGGGCAGAGCTGGTCCATTTAACCCCCCTCTTCCTCCTCCTCCTGCTGCTGCTGCTTTCACCCCTGTGGCACCCCAAGAGCGTGCGGGGTGCCCTGGGGCTGCGCTGCGCCCGTCCCCGTTGTACCCCATCCATCCCTCTGCAACCAAAGAGGCTGAGGAGCGCTCAGTGCATCCCCCCCTGCCACGGAGCCCCCAGCGCTGCTTGGCTGCTGCTGCTGGGCAGAGCGGGGCTTTCCCGGGGCCAGGGCCTGCTCCCACCCCAGCCAGGAGCTGACTCCGCTCCCCGACTGCTGCAGCTCTGGGGGCTCCAGCGCGTTCCCGTCCAGAGGATGCTGCTTGTGCTGGGGGGAGCGGGGAGCCCCAGGAGCTGCTCTGCAGCTGGGGAGAGGCTGGTCCAGCACCACCACGAACCGGTCCCACACCAGCCCCTGCGTCTCTTGCGCCGCTGCCTCTCTCATTGTAAAGATGCTGTGCTCCCGGCTGGGGCCTGTGTGTGCTGGGATGGAGGAGCTGCTGCGCTGCATTGGTCCTCTGGGAGACCCCCCCTTTAAACCCTGTTTGGCTGCGGGATGGGGCATGGCTGAGCCCCCCCATCCTGGCCCTCGGCTGAGCTCCATCCCTGCAGCCCCATCCCCACAGCATCCCCCCAACCCACTGCAGCGCCACAGCCCCAGCCCCGACCCCACATCAGACCCCGGCCCGAGGGTGACCGCGAGCAGCAGGACCCGGCTGCTCCTTTCCTCCTCGGACACCCTGGTCTGAAAAGGGCGGAATCCGGCACCGAGCCCCAAACCCGTGTTTTCTGCACTCAAAACCATGAATTCCTGATGCTTGGTCAAGCCCTGCCGGTGTCGGTGCCGGCGGCGCGGGCAGCCCCGCCAGGGGAGGGAGGGAGGGAAGGTTTGGTCTCCGTGTTCCCATTTAGCTTAGCTTCTGTCTGTGCCTGCCCATGGTGTGTCGTGCGTTAACCACTGGTTTACACTGTTGCCGTAAAAGTGGATTTGGAAATAAAGTCATTACTACGAGAACCGGCGCCGTGTCTGCACGGGGAGCAGTGGGGAGCAGTGGGGAGCAATGGGGAGCAATGGGGAGCAATGGGGAGCAATGGGGAGCAATGGGGAAGGGCGGGGGATGAGGGCAATGGGGCTGTTTCCTCAGCTGTGGAAGAGCCCAAAGGCAGCTGCTCTGAGCCCCAGTGATGCCTCACACCACTGCCCCAGTTCCAGCCCATGATCCCCCCATTTACCCCCCCGGTTACCAGCACCAGACCCACTCCTGCACTGGCTCCAGTCCAGTGCAGCCCCCGCTGGTTGCTTTGGGGTTGGTTTTCCCATCCCCTATTGATCGCTCAGACCAGGCCAGGGCTGCCCAGGCTGCTGCTGCCCCTGGACCACCCTCCCCATC